CAGATTTGGGTAACTGCCAGACATTTTCTAAAAAAATGAAGCCTAGTGGTGCCTGGGTGGCTCAGTGGGTTAAAGCCTCTGCCTTCGGCTCAGGTCATGATCCCAGGGTCCTGGGATTGAGCCCCACGTCGGGCTCTCTGCTTGGCAGGGAGCCTGCTTCCTCCTCTCTCTCTGCCTGCCTCTCTGCCTCCTTGTGATCTCTGTCTGTCAAATAAATAAATAAAATCTTTAAAAAAAATAAAAAATAAATAAATTAGAAAACGGAGCCTGTCACATCAAGGAAAACTCCAACAGAACTCACTGATAATAATAAAATTCAAGATCTTGAGTAAAAATTAGCATCCTGGAAAATGTGTATTCTCCGCAGTGAAATAGTTAATGGCTTGTCTAATGAGATTAGTAATGTCATTAACAAATACAATTTTTTGGATATCAGAAAACAAAATACAGCACTGCACATCTGCATAACTCGGTGAACCATCATTTCCCAAATCCCAGAGCCTGAGGATGGAATATCATGGATGGGTAAAACAGCCCTTCAGAGTGTTAGGCAGACCGGGGACTTAAATAAAGCGAGTACAAAAAGTTCACTGAGGGGGCTCCTGGGTGACTCAGTCGGTTGGGCATTTGCCTTTGGCTCAGGTCATGATCCCGGAGTCCTGGGATCGAGCCCTGGATTGGGTTCCCTGCTCCGCGGAAGGCCCGCCTCTCCCTCTCCCTGCCACTCTCCCTGCTTGTGTGCTCTCCCTCTGTCAAATAAATAAATAAATAAAATCTTAAAAAAAAAAAAGTTCAGGGGTGCTTCAGTGGCTCGGTTGGTTGGGCGTCTGCCTTTGGATCAGGTCGTGATCCCAGGGTTCCTGGGACTGAGCCCCACATCAGGCTCCCTGCTCAGGGGGGAGCCTGGTTCTCCCTCTGCCCCACATCCTGCTTGTGCTCTCTCTCAAGCTCTCTCTCTAAAATAAATAAATACAATCTAAAAGAAAAGTTTAAAAAAAAGGTCACTGAGAACGTATCACATTCCATGGTGCGATTAACTTTTAGGAAACCACTGCTTGTTGAATTTTGATCAAATATTAAAGAAGAGATCCACAATCACCTAAAGGGCTATTAAAATATTTTTCCTCTTCCCAATGACTGGTATGTGAAACCAGATTTTCTTTAACTACTTCAACCAAAAGAACACACTGCAACAGAGCAAGTGCCGGAAGGGTGAGGAGAACCTAGCTGTGCACCAAGATGGCCGTTTGACGTTAAGGAGACCTGTGCAATGGGAAAAAGTGCATCTTTGCATCAACTTTTTTCAGTTTCAGAAATAGTTATTTTTCATTAAAATGTTATTTACGTTAATATGTAATGGGTTTGTTATTTTAAAATGACAACTATTTAAAACTTTTTTTCAGGTTTTTTTTCCCCCGAAGATTTTATTTATTTATTTGACAGAGAGAGATCACAAGCAGGCAGAGAGGCAGGGAGAGAGAGAGAGAGAGAGAGAGAGAGAGAGAGAGAGACGCAGGCTCCCTGCTGAACAGAGAGCCTGATGTGGGGCTCGATCCCAGGACCCTGGGACCATCACCTGAGCCGAAGGCAGAAGATTTAACCCCCTGAGCCACCGAGGCGCCCCCAAATTTTTTTCAGTTTTAACTTCTAAAATAGTAAATACCAATAGATAAAACCAAAATGAAGTAAAGCTCTTCGGGATCCTCAGTGTTTAATTGTGCAAAGACACCAAAATGTTCTGAGAACTGCTGTAGTAAGAAACGAAAAGCAGATTTTAAAAAGCTAAAGCAGCGGACGCCTGGCTGCCTCAGCTACTAAGCATCTGATTTCAGCTCTAGTTGTGATCTCGGGGTCGTGGAATTGAGCCCTGCTCCATGCTCCTCTCCCTCTGCCCCTCCCCCTGCTCGTGCTCTCACTCTCTCCTTCAGACAAATAAATAAAATCTTTACGAAAATAATAATAAGGGGCGCCTGGGTGCTCAGTTGGTTAAGTAACTGCCTTTGGCTCAGGTCATGATCCCAGGGTCCTGGGAGCAGAGAGCCTGCTTCTCCCTCTCCCTCTGCCTTCACTCTGCCTACTTGTGCTATCTGTCAAATAAATAAATAAAATCTTGAATAATAATAATAATAATAATAATAATAATAATAATAATAATAAAAAGCCAAAGCAGGAAGGAGTGCCATCTGGTGGAAAAGACAGTTCTGGTGGAAATGACATCAAGCCATTTGCTAACAAAATAAATGATGCCTCTAATTCATCCTGGTAACATATCCTATTTTAGAAACTTCATATACTTAAGGTAGAAATATTCAAAACTGAAGGCTTGGAATTCAAAAATATTGTTAAAAGTTGGGGTGCCGGGGCGCCTGAGTGGCTCAGTGGGTTAGGCCTCTGCCTTCGGCTCGGGTCATGATCTCAGGGTCCTGGGATCGAGTCCCACATCGGGCTCTCTGCTCAGCGGGGAGCCTGCTTCCCCTTCTCTCTCTGCCTGCCTATCTGCCTACTTGTGATCTCCCTCTCTCTGTCAAATAAATAAAAAAATTTAAAAAAAAAGTTGGGGTGCCAATTTGGGGGGAAAAAAGTTGGGGTGCCTGGGAGGTACAGTTGGTTAAGTGTCCCACTCTTGGTTTTGGCTCAGGACATGATCTCAAGGTCATGAGATCAAGCCCTACAGTCAAGTCTGCTTAAGACTCTCCCTCTCCCTCCCACCCCCACCAGTACATGTATGCAGACTTTCTAATAAATAAATTTTAAGGAATATATATCTATCTATATCTATATTTTTATCTATATAGTTAAAAATAAATTAAGCATGCCACAGAAGAGTTCTGGAATAGAGGGATGAAGGATTGGGAGGAATTTGATGTGGAGGCTGCTGCCTGAAGACAGTCTGAGACCAGCTCAGGCAGGAGAGGAAGGCAGCACCAGCACTAAGGCATGGGGAGCACAGAAGACTGTTTCCAGTCCTTGCGGTGCCATGAACACTCGTGATTTTTGGACTTAAGGACATGTACAGCTCTGTCTGACCCCTTCCACACTCATCCTCCAAAAGAACTACAAGTCACTGTAAGAGTGGCTTCTGTGTTCTGCTCTCCGAGGGCCTCTCAAGAACAGACATTGTTCTAGAACACTTTTTATGCCACAACCAGACTCGAAGTTCAAATGACTGAATGAAATATAGTAAGGCGTATCAGTCAAACGCTGAGTATAAGTGACACATCTTGGGGCACCTGGGTGGCTCAGTGGGTTAAAGTCTCTGCCTTTTGGCTCAGGTCATGATCTCAGGGTCCTGGGATCGAGCCCTGTATCGGGCTCTCTGCTCAGCAGGGAGCTTGCTTCCCCCTCTCTCTCTGCCTGCCTCTCTGCCTACTTGTGATCTGTCAAATAAATAAACAAAATCTTAAAAAAAAAAAAAAAAAAAAAGACACGTCTTCCCAACCTTCACATGATACCGAGAAAGGCTGACCCAAGACACTTTAACCTATTTCCCAGTTCTGGCCCCCTCACCACCAACCTCATTCCCAGGGGATTTGCTGTTTAGCTTGCTGTATTCCAGAAGGGGTGGCAGCAGAGTACCTGTACCTTTTTCTCTAGCCAGCTTCCCCAGGAGGCCTTCCAGCCTTAAGCAAAGGCCAGCCACTACATACACAAAGGCTCCAGGTCCCACAAACCCTCTTCTTCCTCCACAATGAAGTTCCAGCACTTGGCCAGCTCCTCAGGCTTATCTCATGCCTGGGCTTGAAGGCCCTCACACCCCAAATACTAAGACAGAAGATACTACCACTACTGCCATTTTCTTTCCGCAAGCCAAGCAGCGGGGAGGCCGCCCTTGATCCAGGCCACAGGTGTGCCCTCCGGTTTTATGTTTAGAATGCCTGGATGAGTTAACCCTGAGTTCCTTAACTTGGCACAGAAAGGTGCGGCATTTGCAGTACCTAGGGCTCAAGTTTTTTCTTTCCTCTGAGTGCTGGTGCCCAAGCTTTCTTGGGAAAATGTGTTTTCCGTATCATCCACAGCCTCTCATGGGCTTAGCTGAATGGCTGCACAAAGTTCTATCCAAACACAGAATCGGTTCAAATTTGGAAGAGCTCGTGCCCTGTTTTCGGATACACTATTGTTTTGATTATAATTTGGTACAATTTTCTAAATTCTACTATGTTGCCTTGAAGGCTTTGGTTGGTTTCAAAGTAGCTTTTAATCACAAAACTAGGCCCATATTCCCCAGACCTAGAGTGACAGAATCAGACTTTCTCTTTGAAAGAGAAATGTTTGTTCCCTAAAGAATGTGTCCTCAATAGGCACAGCGTACAGTCCAGCAAGGCTACCTGACACAAAGCAGGGGTGGGAAGGGCGGGGGGGGGGGGGGGTCTTACCCATCATCAAAATAGGTCAAGGAGCATGACAGGAAATGCTGCTAATGACTCCCAGCTGCTACTGGGGGGAAGTATCAGAAGAAATGGCGATGTTGTTTCAGAAAGCCCGTTCTGTTTACCTAAAAGTAGATGGTCATGGGCCTGGGGAAACAAGGATTAGGTACAACTTTTCCAAAAGGCAGGGAGAGGCCTCACTCTGTCTGACCCTCCCATGGCCCTTCCTCACTTCTAGACAACTGAAGAGTACAACAGGCAGCCCTTATGGCTTCTTGATTCCAGAGACATTCCCACATCTAACCCACCTGCAGGTACAGCAACCCCACCAAGCCCACCTGGCTAAGAGCAGAGGCAGGCTGCTATGCTCAGCCAGGCCTCTCAGCTTTCTAGACAGGAGCTATGGCACTATCTGCAAGGCTGGAAATCCAAGCTGCCTCAGGACTTACTCGTTCCATGGTGACCTCCTTTCTTTAGAAAGCTGGTTTCAACACAGAAAATGTACACGTGGTTGCACAGTGTGTTAGCAAAGTGTGTCAGCGGGACTGAGCTGGCCCAGACACAGGAACTGAGCCGCAATGTTACAATGCCTTGTTTGTATCCAGCCACCCCACCACAGCCAACACCAAATACCTTTGGGTCATCAGCCTCAGGTTTTTCAGTCTCTGAATCGTCATCTTCCTACAAGACAAAGAATTTAGAGGATTAAGCTTAAAGGAGCGGGCCTGTGGGTTCTCACATGCATAACTAGGGGCTGGAGCCATCCCACCAAGAACCCCTCCCCTGCCCTATGACCCAGAACTAGAGGAAGAGAAGGGGAAAAGGAGATGTTCTGGGGGTGGGGTGGAGAAAAGAACATCAGCAGCTCAAAGTCGTGACTCCAGCAGTGCCATAGTCTAGAGTGATGAAAATGCCTGAGATTAAAAATCACATATATAAAAATGAAAAAGGTTGCAATGTGTCAGAAAAGAATAAGACCAGGTCCCACAGGGTAAAACAGACACAGTGTTTCTAATGAAATATGCTTATTAAAACCAGGAACATGAGAACCTTTTTTTCCTTCTTTGCCTTTCATATACACAAGGACATCAGGCCCAGACCTACCATGACATGGTTCACGGTCAGAGTGCCATGACCCCCACAACTACACCCCAGCACTTCAGCCCAGGAATAGTCACAGTTATATGAACAGTAGGAGAGCAGGCGTCAAATGACCAGGGCAAGTGACCCAGGGAAAGGCTATAGTTCAACACCTGGCCTTTCCTGGGTCCCAGGCGAGCAGACTCTGCCTCCATCCAAGCACTCACAGAACTGCCACTGACCTGTTCTATCCAGTCTTGCTCCTGATCCAAACAGCCAGCCTGACACAAATCATCATGTGAACAAGGCATTCTCTAAAGTGTGCACTACAGCCTCACACGGGCTAGCCCACCATTCCACGGAAGACTACTGAAGGTCAAAGATCGGCTACCCTACTATGTAGCTATATCCATGTCTGTTCCCAGAACACCCCAATGCACAAGAGCCTTTAACTTAACACCCAGGGGAAAAAAAATTAAGTTTCACTTGAAATTGCTTTTTTCAATCGAGCTACACTTTAACCCAAACACCAAGTAGTGCCCCAGATGTTGATATAAACATCACCTGTGAGACTCAAACAAATTAAACGGGTAGCTTCGAGACTTAATTGTCCTGCCAGGTGCCAGTGAGCCCAAAGGGTTAAATGTAATCTCCATGATTTCCTTAAGATGAGATCAATCGTGCCAAATAATCAGAGATGTAGCTCGGCCAAATACAATCACATTTTAGAATGTCTATATCGGGATTTGATGAGAGGATTTTACTAGAATGATGTAAAGCTTAAATATGATGAAAATTCTAAGCAAAGCAATGCGGAACAACACTTCGGAAACGTTATCATGCACACTTACTAAGAGAACAGTTATGGTGTTAAGCCAGTATGGGTGCACTTAAGAAAACAATCTGCAAAGCTTTTCTAAACAATTTTAGTCAATTCTTAATTATCAGCATTAATGGTGGAGCTACGGATATGAAAATATCTACCAAAAGAGCATCAAATACAAAATGCTTTTTTGTTTTACTTAAAACATCTTTCGACACTAATATTTAAATATCAATACACAAGAAAACTTTCAAACAAATAGTAAAGTACATTAAGTATTTTGGTTAAAGGTGTTGCTGAATAACCAGATTCTATAACCAGATTTCACTTTGTATGTTTTTGTGCTAAGCATCAGCTTGAATCCTTGCTTTCTCTCCAAGCTGTTATAAACTCTGGCTCCTAAGACTCAGGCGATAATGTATCCAAAGGCTTTCTGTTTAATTAAGGCACAACTTCTCTTTTCCTTGTTGCCAGCACATACTAAATGACTGGGAAGATTTGTACTCAAGAACGGCAGGCACTTTTATCAAAAGTGCAAGTAAAATATCAAAAAAGAAGTTAAGAAGGATCAAACCACAAATAAAAAACTAAATAATTTCCCTTCCTAATCTCACTAAAAAGCTGAAAGATTTGAATAAGTTCCAACCAAGATTAAAAATAGTACAGAGTTGACTGCAGATATAAATGATACACCAGTTAGGATGAATGCATTGCTGTAAATGGAATAAACTGTCTAAACCAGGAAAACCCATATGAAACACTCATTGATATTTCGCTTAAATGAAATAGTCCATTATCTCTTCCCCCCAATTTCAAATCAAAAGTTAATACAAAATGGTCCAGATGAAAACAAGTTTTGTTTTCAAAACAGAACTACTGATATCCAACCCAGTTTCCTCAACTGAAACCAAATAAAAAGCAGGGGAACAGAGGGGAATGACGTTAGCCATGGAATGGAACACTGTCAGTACAGTTCGAAGGTTTCTGCCAAAGGAAACGGTGCTTTGAGCAACTCTGGATTTGGGAACAGATTTACTTACCGACTGTTTGCTGTTCTCATCCTCTTCTTCTTCATAGCCATCTTCATCACCTCCGAGGCGAGAGAAGTCATCCTCTCCATAGGCTTCTGATACTAATCCACCTTTCTCCTCTGAAACAGAGGAAAAAAGAAAAACGAATGAAGGCATACAAAAATGGAAGACAATATTTTGAGCAGCCAGAACCAGCCCCGAAGATCAGAGGGGTGCCTAAATCTCGTGTAAGTGACTATAGGTCCAGAATCTGCCTTTGGAAAGAACACAATTTAGTGGATAAAATCATTAAAAGAACATGGAAGAAAACCAAATGCCAAATTCTTGCTTTCATGCTTCCTCTCCACCTAGTATGCCAGTTGAAGCCTTCTCTTTTCTGAGCTGCTATTGTTGCAGGTTGTTTGAAAACCTCCTTTGATATGGGTGTCTCTACCTCGTACCAGAAGCACCAGAACTTATCTTCTCATACGAAACAAGGACTCCGTTGTCCTCATTTTTGTGTGTCCTCCCTACGAACAGGAGGGGACCTTCAAAGGGGCTACCAATCGTACTTACTTGAGAAACAAAATCATCTTCTACCTTTAAACCAAAACAACCTAACAACAAAAAATATAAAATGATACAAATTACTGGGAAACCACCAGAGGACTTCCCAACTGGAAGACACCACAAAAAACTGAGAGAAGCTAACCTCCAAAGGAGGAAAGGAAGGCCCAGATATGATAGGTAACTTGCTGCCTTATTATCCCAAAGCAATCTGTTCTCATTTCCTAACATTGAGTAGGGCAACAAAATCACTGATGGGCTTTAACAGCTCACAAAGTAAGGGAATCACTGAGAAGCATTAGAAAGCTCACAAAACACCCAGATCCTACCCCAAATCTACGAATTACTCCCTCATCAGCGAGATCAGACATACATATCTTTAAAGGCTCCAAGATGCGTCTAGGGCACATTCCTAAAGCGAAGTTATAAATTTAACAAGACACAACCTTTTTCAACTTCCACGTACGTTCTACTCATCGCTCTCCCCATTACACAGTGAACCCGGAGGGAATAGGTAGCTTTGGATCCTCTCCATCCACCCCCTCTGTCCTACGCTGCCCGGCACGGAGCCTTTCAAAAGTTTCGGCAGAATAATCCAATCAACGGAAGGAGATGGCCCGTTTTTATTCCAGAGCGTCTACTCTGTCCCAGCCAGAGGCTCGATCGCGCTTCGACGCTCGCGGACCCGACACTGGGGGCACAATGACCATCTATTTCCCTCCCGCTCTGCTAGGTGAGCAGCATTCCGAGCAGACACCAGATTCTCCCCTTCCAGTTCCCTCCTCGGGCCTCACCAGGCGCGCCGCCCGCCGTTTCGACCCCAGCCTCGCCGTCGGACTCGGGCTCTGAATCTTCCGCGTAAACTGCCAGAGACGACAGAACATTCTTCTTCCCCGCCATCTTACTCCCACAATCCCAGAGTGCTTCACTTCTAGAGTCAAAATCGCCGACTTCCGTACGGAAAGGCGACTTTTTCCTATCCCAGGAGAACCCGCGCCGGTTCCCCTCCAGGAACCAATCAAAAGGGCCCTTTTTGCGCCTGGCCCCGCCCTTCGGACCGGAGCTGCCGAAACGTCATCACCGCGCGACAGATATAAAGTTGAGTGGGTTTTCCCTGACAGAATTCCCAGCCATTTGGCTCCTCAGAATTTGGGGTGGCTTATGGGGGTCTTCGAGTAGTTCCCGACCGGCGGGCAGCAGCGGCCCGGCAAGAGTCCTTCGCTCCTGGGTGGCCCGCGCCCAGCTCTGATATCTTGGGGTGAAGCGAGGGAGGCTTCGGCTGGGGAAGGGAGAAAGGAGCGGATCTGTGGGGCTTAGAGGAAGAGGGATGAATTCTCCTCCGGGAGGTCCGAAGAAGGGGTCGGGGCCCTGGGGGAAGAATGGCCGTGAGACCAGCGCTTATAAAAGGAGCGGGAGGTGGATCTTAGAAAAACAATTCCATCTTCTCCAAATTATTCCAAAGATACAGTTTGAGTTTCTTCTCGTAATCTGATTTCTAGCCTGTGCTGTATCATGGATGGGATATTTCAGTGTTTCTGTTTTCCCGAGCGTGAAAATGGAGATGTTAATTGCCCGGCAATGTGTTGCTTGAGGCTGTTCATCTGGAGCTGTTTTAGCTGGAAATAATATATTGCTTGAGAGTAATAAAGCAAATTTTACTTAGAGAAAGATGAGCAGTATTTTAAAAGCGGAACAGAGGGTTTTCGTTGCCATCATATGATCATCACCTTTACCTTAACTTCTGGCCACGGTCTGTCGCTAAGATGAGCACCCGCCCTTCTTTTGACCCTGAACGTCGAGTCCGGAGCACGTTGAAGAAGGTCTTTGGGTTTGACTCTTTTAAGACACCTCTACAGGAGAGTGCGACCATGGCCGTAGTGAGAGGTAACATTGCCAAACTACCTGCGTTTACATTTGTGCTGGCTGTACTGTAGCATTGCCTGAGGGTGCCAGTTGCCACCTTCAAAAAGCCCTCCTTTTCAACCCTTCCTACTTTCCCACTCTTGGTCCCTAATTGTTGGAAATCTTGTAGACTTGTCACTTAAACTTTCAGTTTTATTGGCAGAATCACCCAGCTCTTCTGGTTCTTATATTTCATAGCCAGCATCGGCAATTATCTTTGAAAACAACTCTTAGATTTCAATTCATGTTGGTTTGTGTGTGGGCAGTAGTGGGCGTGGCAGGAATAACCTAATCCAGCCACTGACCTTCCAACCCCCCTTTATTAAAACATAAATAAATAAATAAGATATATTTATTTGTTTATTTGACAGAGTTAGAGAGACAATGGGAGAGGGAACATAAGCAGGGGGAGTGGGAGAGGGAGAAGCAGGCCTCATGCGGGGCTTGATCCCAGGACCCTGAGCCGAAGGCAGATGCTTTATGACTGAGCCACCCAAATGCCCCTCTAAACCCTTTTTTTTGAAGACTGATCTGGGTCCTAAATAGGGAAGGAGGGAGTAATAATACGGTAAACCTGAGATACATTGGCAAATGGGGGTTATCAAGAGGAAAGCAACAATGTAATATCAATTACATTATAACACTTATAAACAGAAGATCTCTAAGTGATGTTGCTTCCCTGTCTCCACAGCTGGGCCCACTCATCTAGAAATATTCAACTTTTCATGGCTATTTAATTCCATCATGCATATCCCAACAGACTCAGACTTCTCACCCTCATGGTTGTTATTGCCATTACTGGAAATGGTTTGTGCCCATTTCCAAATCTCTCTGGATCTCTACCCTTTACACAGAAAGGATGGGAAGGAAATTAGCATTATATTGAGAACTTTCTATGTGCCAGACACTCTGCTAGGTGCATTTCCTATACTCTCATTTTTCAACAGCCTTGATGAAGTAAAAGATAAAAGGCAGGAAGTATTTATTTATTTATTTTCTTTTAAAGATTTATTTATTTATTTGCAAGAGAGAGAGTGTGCTCGTGCACAAATGTGGGGAGGGACGTAGGGAGAAGGAGAGAATCTCAAGCAGACTCCCCACTGAGAGTAGAGCTTGAAGTGGGGCTGGGCTTGATCTCATGACCTTGAGATCATGACCTGACCTGAAATCTAGAGACACTGAACTGCTTGGGCCACCCAGGTCCCCCCAGGCAGGAACTATTAAGTGTTGTTGTCTTTTTGCAGGTGACAAGGATGTCTTTGTGTGCATGCCCACAGGGGCAGGAAAATCCCTTTGCTATCAGCTCCCTGCTCTGTTGGCCAAAGGCATCACCATTGTAATCTCTCCACTCATTGCTTTGATTCAGGTGAGGCTTAGGGGAGTGAAGATGGTAGCCCAAAAAGTTTAGGGAAAGGTTTGTTTTGTTGTTGTTGTTGTTGTTGTTTTCAGCTGGAAATGGCACTTCTTGTTTGGTCTTTACCTTTTTTTTTTTTTTTTTAAGATTTTATGTATTTATTTGACAGAGATCACAAGTAGGCAGAGAGAGAGGAGAGAGAGAGAGAGGAGGAAGCAGGCTTCCTGATGAGCAGAGAGCCCAATGTGGGGCTCAATCCCAGGACCCTGGGATCATGACCTGAGCTGAAGGCAGAAGCTCTAACCCACTGAGCCACCCAGGCGCCCTGGTCTTTACCCTTTTATTTTCTTTGATTTGCCTATCTCCCTTTCTGTGTTGGGTTTCTGAATTGCCCAAATATGGGAGCTCCAGTAGTGTATATCACTCTGGAGGGTTATGAATGAGTCTTCTGTGTCTCGATGGCCTGAGGTCTCTCACCTTCCTTTGTTACTTTCCACCCAGAAGAGTATGGAACTATGTCTGTATACACATATGAGTGAGACACTCACTCATGGACACACATGTGCACTTTTGACAGGTTAGAAGATGCAGATGATAGAAAGCAAAATTGATCTAAACGGGCTGGGACATTGTCAGCATCTGCTCTGCACCTCTGGGTATATTTAAGGCCTGCAGATGGGCTGACAGAATCAGAAATGAGGAAGTGTGGCCATGCGGTTAAAAGCCATCCAGCATGAAGAGAAACAGAGTGATAGGAACAGTGCTTTGTGAGTTTCACAAGGTCTCAGGCTTTGAACTCAATGGTTTATGTGCATTCATTTCATTTTTGCAGTGTAAAATTTCATTTAGTGCCAACAGCTATGTTGTTAGGTAGTTGCCAGTTTTACAGGATGAACAGAGTCTCAGAGCCAGCCAAAGAGCCTGTGGTGATTCAGTGAGTCAGAAATAAGCCAGGACTGTCTGTCTCTAGACTCTGTGCTCTCAACCACTGCACCTCCTGTGAGAAGACCTTGGAGGTTGGGAGGAGGACGTTTATGGCTGGGAAATGCCCAGCGAGCCAAGGTGACATTGACCACCGGGTCCTTCCCTCAGTGAACTGTTTCCTTTGTTCCCTCAGGACCAAGTAGATCACTTGCTGGCTCTGAAGGTACGAGTGAGTTCCCTGAACTCTAAACTCTCAGCACAGGAGAAAAAGGAGCTGCTCTCTGATCTAGAGCGAGAAAAGCCAGAGACCAAACTTCTGTACATTACGCCAGAGATGGCGGCTTCGGCCTCTTTCCAGCCCACGCTGAACTCACTGGTGTCCCGTCACCTGCTCTCCTACCTGGTGGTGGACGAAGCTCATTGTGTTTCTCAGTGGGGGCACGACTTCCGTCCTGACTACTTGCGTCTGGGTACCCTCCGTTCCCGCCTGGCGCATGCCCCGTGTGTAGCTCTGACTGCCACAGCCACCCCGCAAGTCCGAGAGGATGTATTTGCTGCCCTGCACCTGAAGCCGCCAGTTGCCACCTTCAAGACTCCCTGCTTTCGGGCCAACCTGTTCTATGACGTGCAGTTCAAAGAGCTGCTTTCTGATCCCTACGGGAACCTGCGGGACTTCTGCCTTAAGGCTCTTGGACAGAAAGCTGGTAAAGGGGTGAGGAACCTATGGGGCTGACAGGAGAAAGAGCGAGAGCTTCTTTTAAAGGAGGCCACAGTAAAATGGACAGATTGTTCTGTTCTTAATGCTCACTCTCTTCCCATGTCTCCTCATTCAGTTGCTGTCCGGCTGCGGCATTGTCTACTGCAGGACCAGAGAGGCTTGCGAACAGCTGGCCACGGAGCTCAGTTACAGGGGACTGAGTGCCAAGGCTTACCATGCAGGTGAGGGGCGCCTGGGCCGAGGGGTCTGCCTCCATCTCAGAAGCCTCTCCGTGGGCCTCTTGTTCTTTAAGGATCCTGGATGCTCAGATGGTCTGTCCTCTTTTTCCGGATACTCAGGCAGAGCTAAAGCGATTCCCTTACATTCATAAAAAGGAGTGTAGACACAAATGAGATCTAAAAGGAGAACTATGACTCCTGAATTCTTTTTCTCACCCTGCACCTTTCCAGCAGCAGGTGAGGAGTTTTTAGAAGTCCAGGTACTGGTGGTATGGAAAGAGCACAGGTTTTGGAGGCCAGTGGACTTGGGTTTGAATCTGGGCTTTGATGCTTATTGAGTGCTCTGTGCTCCACGCAGTCCAGGGTCTTTGAGGTGAAGTGCATGGCCCAAGGCCATACAGCTGGTAAGTGATGGATTCCAGGTGTGCGTATAGCGCCCAATACAGTAACAAACCCGAGGTAGATTCCAGGGGAAATACAGGCTCCCTTTGTCACCTTCCCCTCCATCACAGGGCTGAAGGCTTCCGAAAGAACACTGGTGCAGAATGAGTGGATGGAGGAGAAGGTCCCTGTCATTGTTGCAACCATTAGTTTTGGGATGGGAGTGGACAAAGCCAATGTCAGGTGAGTGATGGTTCTTGCCTTCCCTATCCAGTTGGGCCCTGACTCAAGTGGGCTGCCTAGTGTTCTGCCTCAAGGACCAAGTGCACATGGTCCTTCTAGGGCCAGAGGGGAAGGAGGCCGCAGGAGAGAATCCTCAGTGCATAGCCCACTTGGTGACGGGTGCTGTGCAGCCCACTCTCCAGTGACTGTGCAGCAGGTTCTGCCATCCCCCAGTAGAGGGCAGCATGCAGCCATCGGGCCCATCCATTAACGCAGCCCAGTTCCCTCACTGAAGCGGACTATCTGAAAATGCTCCCTGTGGAAAATCAAAGGCAGTGGCTTGTTACCCAGCATTCCTTGTTACTGCTTACTGACAATCTAGAAGAGACGGGTACATCCCAGCCTGCTAGACCCACCCTGGCAACTGCTGGGAAGTCTTTTACCTCTAGCCCCACCTAACATTCCAGAGACATTTTCAGCTACCGCCGGAAGCCCTTTGCTTTGATTAACACCAACAATAATGCCTTGTATGATTTACAGAGCACTTTTGCATACATGGTCTCGTTAAGACTCACAGGGAAGCTGGGTTGGTCAGGGGAGGAATGAGTCTATGTGCTTACATTTAAGAGAACACAGACTTTGGAAGCAGAGTTTGGACCCTGCATTGGCTGTGGCTTGTTAGGGCCAACTTTACTCTGCCAGCCCCAGGCCCAAATCCTAGCTCTGCTGTCCCCTTGCTATGTCACCTTGTACACATTTTCCTGAATCATTTCATTGTCTGTAAAATGGAGTTATCTCACCTGATAGTAATTGTAAAATTAAATGAGACAAATACATAAACTGGCCCATAGTAGGTATTTAATAATGTTATCTCTCCCTCTCTTCCATGAGGGTGAAGGGATTTACTCGAGGTTATACAACTCCTTACTGGCCTTACCTTCTTTCTTTAAGCCCAGTGCTTTTTCCTCTGGGCCATGACTGTGAGAGTTTTTGGTTTCTCATATGGACTGAATTGCCCCCTTTAATTCTGCTGTGGCCTTTAACTTGGGCCGCTCGATGGCAGGAAGGCCTACTGATTGGGTGCGGGGGTCTTGGCCACATTTATTCTGAAACCTGCTAACCTCCCTGCTCTTGATGACCACTGAGAACCCTGTTTCCCTGATTCTGATCACTCCTCCCCTCAGCTCTTCTGCCACAACTCACGCTGCTTGTCCCTTTGGATCCTTCAGGTTTGTCGCTCACTGGAATATTGCCAAGTCTATGGCTGGGTACTACCAAGAGTCTGGCCGGGCAGGCAGGGACGGGAAGCCTTCCTGGTGCCGTCTCTATTACTCCAGGAACGACCGGGACCAAGTCAGTTTCCTGATCAGGAAGGAAGTAGCAAAACTCCAGGTAAATCTGGGCAGCAGGACCCCTTTCTGTCCAACCCCCTCCACTCTCCAGTTTCACACATCTTATTTCTGAACCCAGATGGAGCTCCTGTTAGCTACAGGGGTGCTCCTAGGGCTAGGAGGTATAGCGGTGGGGGAAATGGTATGCTGGTGAATATGGAGCTTGCAGCCACGAGGTTAGACTCTTTCCCTTACATTTGGTGTGTCTTAGTGCGATCTCTTGTAGGCCTTTTATTTTACATAGCCAAGATCAATCCTGCCTTGTGGTTTTTTCGGTTTTGTTTTGTTTGGGTGGAGAGAGAGATGGAGAGAGAATCTTAAGCAGGCTCCACAACCCTGAGATCATGACCTGAGCCAAAATCGAGAGTCAGACACTCAACCAACTGAGCCATCCAGGAGTCCCAATCCTACCTTGTTTTAATTAGCTTTGTTACATAAGCATTTTCCCATATTGTTGAAAGTTCTTTGTTTTGTTTTCAGCCTTTTTTTTTTTTTTAACTGGTTGTACTTGCTTTGCAGAGAGCCTAGAAATAGACCCAAGTATGTAAATGAACTAGATATTTGATAGGTGACATTATAAATCAACAGGAAAAGGGTGCAGTGTTGAATAATTGGTGCTGGAAAAAGATAAAGTCAGATACCTGCCTCCTGTACCATACACATGTGAATTATAGGTGGAGTAAAAACCTCAAAAAAGTAATATTGAAGAAAAATATTTTGTTTCCTTGACAAAGAGAAGAGCATGTCAAGATTTTAAAAGTGGAAACTACGAAGGAAGGCATGATCTATTTGACTAAATTCAAACTAAAAATTTTCATATGACAGAAGACACCGTAAACAAGATGGAGAAATGAGCCATTGCTGGGGAAGGTATTTGCAATATACATGATTGACTGCATACGTAGAGAACTAACTCCGGCAGGTCAGTCTATAAAAGGCAGACAGCTGCAGAGCAAGAAGTATGAATTTCACAGAAGAGGGAACCAGCATATCTAATAAAGCTATGACGAGTTGCTCAGCCTCCCTTGGGAATCAGAGAAATGTAGAGGAGGTCATGAGCTGTCACTTCATACAGGTCATACTGGCAACAGTATACAACATGTTTACAGTCACTGTTGGTGAGGATGTGGTGAAAGGGGAACTCACGGTGGTGTCAGGAACATGACCTGATATGACTGCTTTGAAGAGAGACAAGGAATGGAAAGGTGCTGGGGCTCTGTGATTCGGTATTTCCCCTTCTAGATAAACAAGTTGTCATGTGTATGGAGATGCACGGAGATGTTTGCTGCAGCTCGGTCATAATGAACTCTTTGCGTGTAGGGTATTGGATAAGTAAACAGTGGGTTAGTCACATGGTGGAATGGTCTGAAGCAGTTAAAAATGACACAGTAAATCTACATTAACCAACATGGATAAAGTCCCCCAAAGCGTAATTTGTGAAGTTGTAAATGGATACATGCAGACTTTTCCATATAAGAAATAATGCTAAAATAGAGAGAGAAATATTGTACACAAGCACTTACATCTGATCTTTACCAAAATGACATTAAAAGGACAAAAAAATATATAAACCCACAAGGACAGAAAGAATAGAAAACAAGGTAGAAATGTCAACAAATGTCTGCCCAGAAAACCCCAGACTCTACTGGAAATCTGTTGGCATTCATAAGAAAACCTGGTAAGGTGGCTGAATATAAGGGAAATATTTTATTTTTTATTTAGTTTTAATTTTTATTTTTTAAAATATTTTATTTATATATTTGACAGACAGAGATCACAAGTAGGCAGAAAGACAGGCAGAGAGAGGGGGAGGAAGCAGGCTCCCTGCTGAGCAGAGAGCCCGATGTGGGGCTCGATCCCAGGACCCTGAGACCACGACCCGAGCCGAAGGCAGACACCCAACTGACCGAGCCACCCAGGCACCTATAAGGGAAATATTTTAAAAAGCCTAACTTTTCTCCACATGACCATGAATACCTAGGAATGGAAATGAAAAAAATACTTAAGAGTAAAACTTATAGAATATCTAGACATAGACGTTACTGCCTTTAAAGAGATGTAAAAAAACCAAAAATTCTCCCCAGTTGGTTTTAACATGCAGCCAGGCATGAGAACTACTGATTTAGATCAAGAAAATTAATATCTTGTGGAAAGAAAACAAGCTCTGAGTAGGTACAAAAACTGAGTGGGAAGACATAAAACTGTCAGTTCACCTCAGAGTTAATATAAATGAAGTTCCGGTTGAAATCCCAAAAGACCTCTCCCAGGAAGTGGAGTCTTAGGACTTACGTGAAAGAATAAGTGCCCAAGAACAGCCAGGAAAAGTCTGAGCGGGAAGAATGGTGAAGAGGACGAGCTCAACCCGGTGTCAGAATGTGCTGGGGTGTTGCCGTACCCAAATCCTTGTACTACAGCAATAAGCAGTGGCCCAGACAAGGGAATTAGAAATAAGGCCCAGATCATATGAGAGTTTAATATGGATGAAGCCAAACCTTCCATTTAATGGAAAATGAAGGGAGTGTCTGAGAGGTGGCGCGGGCATCCTTCTGGAATAAGATGAAAGTACCCCATTTGGCGCTTTATATATAGAAGACAGATCGAGGACCTACATGTGAAAAACAATGTCTTGCAAGACATTTGATTCCAGTGTATAACCCAGGGCTTGAAATAGTTTTGTAATGCAAATCAGAAATTCAGAAAGCTATCTTTTTTTTTTTTTTTAAAGATTTTATTTATTTGTTAGAGAGAGCGCGCGTGGGAGCACAGGCAGACAGAGTGTCAGGCAGAGGCAGAGGGAGAAGCAGGCTCCCTGCCGAGCAAGGAGCCCGATGTGGGACTCCATCCCAGGACCCTGGGATCATGACCTGAGCCGAAGGCAGCTGCGTAACCAACTGAGCCACCCAGGCGTCCCGAAAGCTATCTTTTTAAAAAAATGAGTATTTGAATTAAAGTTCTTGAACTTTTTTGGGGGGAGGAGAGCAGCGAAGCAAGGTTTATTGAGTGATAGCAAAGTGATAGTACAAAGCTCCCAGGGAGGGAGGGGACCCGAGGGGGTCGCCGCTGGAGTTTCTAAATCTAGGGGTTTTTATAGGCTTGTTGTTGGGCTGTTTTAATCTGATTAATCCTCCCTGGGCCTGTCACCCAATCAGGTGTTTGTCGTCTGTCATATGGATAGGGTGGAGGGCTCCTTCCAAGGTAGTGTAAAATCCTTTTATTTTTTTATTTTTTTAAAGATTTTATTTATTTATTTGACAGAGATCACAAGTAGGCAGAGAGGCAGACAGAGAGAGAGAGGGGGAAGCAGGCTCCCTGCTGAGCAGAGAGCCCGATGTGGGGCTCGATGCCAGGACCCTGGGATCATGACCTGAACCAAAAGCAGAAGCTTTAACCCACTGAGCCACCCAGGCGCCCCTGTAAAATCCTTTTAAAGATGGTTTCCTCTTCGGGTGGCAGCCCCAAGTTCTTGAACTTCTAAAATCCTGAACCCATGAAAAGAATGTAGGCAGCAAAAGATACCATAAACAAAGCCAGCATATAAACAGCAAATCTGGAAAACTGGTTATGCAGAAGGCAAACCAGAGGTTGAAGTTGAGGGTACATGGAGAGATTTCGACAACTGACAGGAAAAAGCAAAGTACGTGAAAGCAAGTTCCCAGAAAAGCTCGTTCAGACGGCACGTCAAAGACTTTTCAAATTCAGTGGTAATCAGGTGAGTGCAAATTACAGCAGAATGACTCACATGACACACGCACCAAAGGGCTCTAACACTCGTGGCTAGTGAGCACACGCAGGAGAGGGCCTGCACTTTGCCTGGAATAGTTGCAGTCTTTTTGCGGGGAAGCATTCTAGCAATATCTATTGTGCTTTATATTTTTATTTTTTTTAAGATATCTGAGGGGTGCCTGGGTGGTTCAGTCATTAAGCGTCTGCTTCCGGCTCAGGTCCTGATCCCAGGGTCTTGAGATCGAGCCCCGAATTGGGCTCCCTGCTTAGTGGGAACCCTGCTTCTCCCTCTCCCACTCCCCCTGCTTGTGTTCCCTCTCTCACCATCTCTCTCTCTCTGTCAAATAAATACATTTAAAAAATCTTAATAAAAAGATATTTAAGAGAGAGCGAGAGCTTGGGGAGGGGCAGAGAGAGAGGGATAAGGAGACTGTGTGCTGAGTGCAGGGCTTGATCCCAGGACCCTGAGATCAAGAGTCAGATGCTCAACCTACTGAGCCATCCAGGCTCCCTCCATTATGCTTTAATATACAGGTACCCTTTGCCCCAGATACTGTATTTCTGGGACCGAATCACCTGGAATAAAAGCTCATGTGCTGGAGGGCCTGTGTGGTAAAATTGGTCACGGGGACTGACACTGGAACAACTAAACACTTGGCCATGAGCAGTGATAAAATTACAGCACGTGCTCACCATGGGGCTGGTAGGCATAACTGAGCGCCCGAGGGCTCTTCTCTTGCTTTTTGAAAAAGAAATCATGTTTATTAATGTGTGACATTAGAGGTTTGCTTATTCCCTGTCTGCTCTGTTGAAATGTAAGTTCCATGAGAGCAGGGACCTCTTGTTTCTTATGGATCTGTGACGGCCAGAGCAGTGCCCGGAATATAGTAAATGCTTAATGGTGTTTTCGAACGGGTGGGGGACGTGAGTAAAAGTTGGGATGGGGAAGGAAGGGGCCTTGTGTGGACCTGGTATTTGCCAGGAATGAAGGGCACCTATTAACTGATTCCCCTGCACCTTTTTTTTTTAAACTGATCCCTTTTATCTGAAATCTAAATTAGACAACAGATTTTGGTAAGGTGATGAGGTATAGTATATATATTTAAAACTTACACAGTGGTTTATAAGAGCTCGAGCTAGGCTTATCAGGAAGACACGTGAGACAGAGAAGATCCAGAGCCTCCAGAGGGGTGGTATGTGGAGTGCTGGGAGCCAGAATAGCACCGGTTTTCTCCGTCATAATATCAGAAAGGAGAAACAATAAAGCAGTGCCTTCCAATTCTAGATAAACCGTTTCCAACGTAGAATTTCCAACCCAGCCAGCCAGTTAAGTTTGAGGCGGTTTAAAGACATTTACAGCTTCCGGTTTGCTAAGCAGAGGTTGGATGTCGGAAGTGTTGGTCTTTACAGGCTCTGGGAGCGGAAGGGTGTTGCTGGCGGCGGCGGGGCGGTAGACCGAAGTGCTCATGTTCTCCCAGCTGTGCAGGGGTTTAATCGCCATGTCCAGTGAAGAGCAAAGATCAGGACTACCAAGAAGCATCCCCAGTGCTCAACATCCAGTGTTTTCCCCTTGTTTGGCCGGTCACAGAGTCAGGAATTCAAAGAGGCTTTCAGCACGATGGGTCAGAACAGAGAGGGTTTCACTGACAAGGAAGATTGCGTGATATGCTTGCCTCCCCGGGGAGGAGTCCAGCTGGTGTGTATCTGGATGCTCTGTGATGAATGAGCCTCCGGGCCCATAGATTTCACCGTGTTTCTCACTGTGTTTGGCGAAAAGCTAAGTGACACAGATCGGAAGGTGTCCTCAGAAATGCTTTTGCTTGCTTTGATGGAGAAGCAACGGGCACCATCCGGGGAGATTTCCTGAGAGCCACAGACAGCGTTGGGAGGCCGGCTTACGGGAAGTGGGTGAGCTGTGCAGAGAAGCGTCTGGACAGAAAGGGAAATTTCAGTTCGTGTGCCTCCGTAGACATGGAGCAAAAGACAGAGATGACTCAAAAGAAGTTCAGATTCCAGCCAGACGTTCCAACCACTGGGGTATTTCTGAGACTCTCTTAGACCCTGTTGCGTGCTCTTAGCTTTGCAGCTTTTGTCTTTCTCGTATTGATTCTCAGCCATTTGGGGCACGTGTGTCTCTGTAATCACAGGAGGGGGCATGTTTTACGATTTTCAGAATAGAAAATAGGGCAGTTTGGGGCACCCGGGTGGCTCAGTGGGGTTGAGCCTCTGCCTTCGGCTCAGGTCACGGTCTCAGGGTCCTGGGATCGAGCCCCGCATCGGGCTCTCTGCTCAGTGGGGAGCCTGCTTCCCCCCTTCTCTCTCTGCCTGCCTCTGCCTACTTGTGATCTCTGTCTGTCAAATAAATAAATAAAATCTTAAAAAAAAAAAAATAGGGCAGTTTAACTTACCAGCCCCCTCCCTCCAAATAATTTCAGTCTACAGAGAGTCAGTACAGTTTTTCAGAGAAAGTTATTTACTCAGTTTTTTTCTGAACATAATTAAACTTTATGGTTTAAAAAAAGACATTTTCAGACGCAAGATATCAAGAAACTCCCTCCTGTGGAGAAGCTACTAAAGTATGTCCCCCATGAGGGAGGTAGTAATCAGTAAGGGGAAGATAGAGATCTGACCTGAGTCAGGCAAAGGAATGTCCTGGGCGCCATAGAAGGTTCATCTCAGTTGTGTGCCAGGCCCAGGGAGGGGCAGTTCAAGTTGAACCAGGGGGACAGAAGGCTCCAGGGGGAGGTTTCTAAAAATATAAGTGGAACCTGCCATGTTTGGCCCCTGTTGACATCAATTTTTCATTATATCACAGCATTTGGTGGTGAAGTAGTAATACACTAACATTTTTTTTTTAAGATTTTATTTTTTTATTTGACAGAGAGATCACAAGTAGGCAGAGAAGCAGAGACAGAGAGAGGAGGAAGCAGGCTCCCCACAGAATAGAGAGCCCGATGTGGGGCTCGATCCCAGGACCCTGAGATCATGACCTGAGCTGAAGGCAGAGGCTCAACCCACTAAGCCACCCAGGCGCCCCTGAAATACACTAAAATTTAAGTGAAAAAAAAAAAAAAGCTATTAATTTTGGGAGAACAAAGTTGTACAAGAAAGGATATGTGATCATAAGAAATGTAAAAAAGTAGCCACATGGTTTAGCCGTGAATGATGTTGCTGCTGTTTCCTCACCATAAGCTGAATTACAATTTCAGAAGAAATTGTGATATAAACAGATTGGCAGAATGAGGGGAGAGAGAGAAGGTGTATTTATGTGTATTTAGAAGTTGGGGATGATTGATTCATTCACCTTCCAGAAGCAGGAGGTTAGTAGATGAGATCTCAGGTATCAGTGTCCGTTATATTTTTATTCCTTTTCTGTATTGTTTTCTGTATTTTTTATTTTGCTCAGCCACCATATAGTACAGCATTAGTTTTTGGTGTAGTGCTCAGTGATTCATCAGTTATGTATAACACCCAGTGCTCATCCCAGCACGTGCCCTCCTTAATACCCATCACCCTGTTACTCCCCACCCCCCACCTCTGAAGCCCTCAGTTTGTTTCCCAGGGTCCATAGGCTCTCATGGTTCGTCTCTCTCTCTGATTCCCTCCTTCAGATTTCCCTCCCTTCCCTTATGGTCCTCTGTTCTGTTGCTTATGTTTTACATGTGAGTGAAACCATATGGTAATTGTCTTTCTCTGCTTGACTGATTCACTTAGCATAATCCCCTCCAGTTCATCCACACCAATGTAAATGGTGGGCATTCATCTTTGTTGATGGCTGAGTAATATTCCATTGTGTATGTGGACCACATCTTCTTTATCTATTCATCTGTTGAAGGGCATCTCAGCTCCTTCTATAGTTTGGCTGTTGTGGACATTGTTGCTGTGAACATTGGGGTACATGTGCCCCTTCTTTTCACTGCATCTGTATCTTTGGGGTAAGTACCTAGTAGTGCAATTGCTGGGTCGTAGGGTAGCTGTTTTTTAACGTCTTGAGAAACCTCCACACTGTTTTCCAGAGTGGCTGCACCAGCTTGCATTCCCACCAGCATTGTAAGAGGCTTCCCCTTTCTCCACATCCTCGCCAACATTTGTTGTTTCTTCTTTTTCTGTATTTTTAAATATTTCACAATTTTTTGAAACTTTGACAAAGACATGTACAAAAAGGCAAATAATGCATAATCCCAGCACTCAGAAGAAATCACTCCTCATATTGTAGTATGTATCCTGTAAACACAGAGGTACATGTGTTCCTGCAAATCTAAAGACGCTGGCACGTATATTTACTATTAAATTAGCCATATGATATTAGGGGACCTGGCTGGCTTAGTTGGTGGAGGACTCTTGATCTCAAGGTTGTAAGTTTGAGCCCCATGTTGGGGTTTTGGCATGAGAATCACCTGAGCAGCTTTTTGAAAATAAACTCCCCAAAGCTCTTGTTCTAGAAAGTTCAATTCAGTAGTCTGGGTATGGGCCCCAGCTCACTTTTTGAAAGTTATCCATGTGGGGGATGTCTGACTGGCTCAGTCAGTACAGCAGGTATCCCTTGAGCTTGGGGTTGTGAGTTCAAGCCCCTTGTTGGGTGTGGATGTTGCTTGGGAAAAAAAAAAATCTTTAAAAATATAAAATAAGGCAACCCCTTCAGGTCCCCGCCCTTCCTGGGAGCTTTGTACTATCATTTTGCTATCACCCAACAAACCTTGCTTTCCTGTCCACCAAAAAAATAAACAAAATTTAAAAGTAAAAAAATAAAGTTATCCAGGTGATTCTGATGCATGGTTTGGGGACACCATTTTATAAATGGCTTGCTTGCTGTCATTTGGTATTTTTGTCCCTCATCATCGTTTAGGCTGCAAGGTAATTGAACTATACCAGACTTTTGCTAAGTGGGCTTTTCTTGTCTCCAGGAAAAGAGAGGGAACAAAGCGTCTGATAAAGCTGCTATCCTGGCCTTTGATGCCCTGGTGACCTTCTGTGAAGAACTGGGGTGAGTGACTTATTTCACACGTGCAGCACTGTGTTAGTGAGGTCTTTCCTCCGCCAGCACCTGCCAGTTAACCAGCTGATGTAGGATAGCTGTTGGGCGACCAGGGCGCGCTCCCTGCCAAAGGCTCCTGCGTGGAGCGTTTCCCATCAGGCAGCCTGGACGTCAGTATCCTCGCCAGGAAGGCCCCAGAAACTAGCAGTGTGAAGACATTCAGTATTTTGGTGGTTGTCCATCTACCCCACTCCACCCACTTCTGGAGTAGCTGGTCCCATAGGTGACCTGTCAAGAGTCACGTTGTGGTCGTCATTTGACACTGAGCCGGACCACTGGCTTCAGCTGAGTAGGAATCACTTTTATCCTGGACTCAAAAAGAGCCGCGTGATCTACCTTATCTCTTGCGGGTGAATAATAAGCTTGGAGAGAAGTCAGCTTTTCTCGTGTAACACCAGCCCGCCCACTTGGAATCTCCTTCTCTGTTTCATCTGTATGTGCTGGTGGCAGAGGCTTGAAAGAGCCTGATGGCTGCTCAGTAGCAGGCGGGTTGTGGCAGGACAGGTTCAGGACACAAGGGACAGCCTGGATGATTCTGGACAAGCTGGGAGCATTTTGCATGCATGTGGCCCTTTGGTCTAAAAAAACTCACCTTGGCCAGACCCCACTGAACAACAGGGTGAGGTCGATGAGGCAGAAGTGATTGCTTCAGACTTAGAGATGAATAGGCTGATGCCCAGAGAGGTCACGGTCACCAAGCTCACAGTAGACAGACACCGCCAAGCCTGGGTCTCCCGAGTTTTAGTGACACGAGCCTTGCATATACACGTACCATCTTGGTTTTTGCACAATTGGATTTTTGAAGTCTGGAGCAGAGTAAGTAGACAGACCGGTACCTAGCGGATGTTTGGAGCGCTCCTCTAGAAACTGAGGTACTTATTTGGGCCATGTGTTTTGATTCCCACCCCCTCCTACTCACTGATGATTTGGTGGCTCCTCTGAGACTGAGTCTCTGGTCTGGTCTGTGTGGCCCGGCCATGCCCAGCAGAGGTGCTTGGCACCCTTGCCCAGAGCCGTCTTGACCCGAGCCCTTTTCAGGCACTAGTACTGGGCGTTGTTAAATTAGGCCCTCTCAGGCTCCTGGAGCAAAAGGCTGATAATGAGAGGGCCGCATGTCCTTGCTAATTGTCAGGGTCCCTTCTGCTGGAAATAACCCTGCCAGGTTCTTTTCTGGGATGAGTCTGAGGCCCCGGGGGACCGTCTAAAGGGTTAGCTCTGCCATATCCCTCTGGGCTGTGGCCACCCAGCAACAGGACAGATCCTGCTAGGGGCCCCTGCCTTCATTTCTCCTGCGTCCTGCTGAGGAGCTGGGGCCTCTCTGTGCTTCTGGGGGTCTCGGCATCAATGGGCCTCCTGCTGCGCCACATGCAGCCTCATCTCTCCTACCTCGTGTGCTACATTTGAGGGTTCTAGATTCCAGGACTGCCTGGGGTGGAAAAATCCGCTGTTGTGGCTGAATGTGAAATTGCTCTTTGGGTAAAAAAAGAAATGTTTCTTTATGGCGTAAATGGTTTATCGCCTATTCCCCACCAAATATTTGCTCTTTTTCTAAGAATAGTCCTGGTTTGTGGTATAGTGGAAGCAGCTGTTTGCTAAGGGAGGGCACCTGGCAGCCAGGGCCAGGCCCGTGTGGTGGCTTTGGCAGAGGCAGGCGCGTCTACAAAGATGGCGTTGTAGGGCGGTCTGGGGTGTGTGGGAGCTGTGGGACCCTGTGAGGGATACCTGGGCGTCTCTGGGACCAGTGGCAGAGACACTCAGGTCAGTATGGATGAGGTCAAGGCCGGGCATCCAGCGGTGCTCCTCTCTCCTCCATGTGCAGCTGTGTTCTCTGAGCCGTGGCCGTGACAAGCATTTGTTCACCCCTGGGGCGGTGCTCTCCATCTTTGAGCGTTAAAAAGAACTATCATTAGGTTGAAACAACTTCCATCTTTGAGGCTTCTGTACCTTGTCTGAGATAGAACAGCCTAGTGTTTGGGCCACAGCTGTACTGGGCGCTGTTGTTTGGGGACTGTGGTCTGGGGGAGCCGACAGCCCTCCTGACTATTGATTTGTTTGGTCATTTATTCGTTCATTCATTTATTCATCCAGCAAATATTGTTTGAAATGGACTGTGTGCCCGGCACGTTGGGAATGGGGTTACAGTGGTGAGCAGAGAGTGGGTTCAGCGGGGAAGACAGGCACTTATCAGATAATCACATTTGTTAATTAGTTAATTACACTAACACGTATGTATAATTTGCAGACTCTTAAAAGGGCTTTGAAGAAAAGGTCCATGGTGTTTTGAGAGTTGACAGGTGGGGCCCTTCTTGGCCCTCAGAAAGTCAGGTCATGACTCTTCACAGCGGCTGACCTTCCCCAGTGGAGGGAGCAAACCAAACACGATGGCAAACACGATGAGAAACAGGATTACGGTGATGAATAAGGTGATCACTGCCAGGCCCCCCTGGTCCCACGGATTCTGCCAGAAATCATCATTCCACATGAGCTTCCGGTTTGTCAGTTTGCCCACGTGAACCTGGAAGAGAGGGGATGGAGGCCCTGAATGCCGGGGCCTCTCCAAGGCCCTGTCGCAGGCGCTGCTGTCCACCCCCAACTTGATCCTCTGGAGCAGTCTCAGAGCAGCTGGCCCACCTCTGCAGGGACCTTGGGCTTGACACCCTGGTGTAAACAGGAGCTGTCCCATCCCTGAGATCGACTCAGCTCGAATCTAAAACACACCGCTACAAATCCTTGCTGTTTTCCCTGCCTCCACTGCATTGAGGTGAAGCATTGGAGTCGAGGAGTGGACTGACTCCAGCTGAGGCCTGGGTAGGTAGCTCCCCGGGGAGGCAGCTGGAAACAACGAGGTAGTCTTGAAGCAGCTCAGGCGGGCAGGGTGCGGGCCGGTGGCCAGTTGAGGGGAGTAGCAGCAAGAAGGAAGGAGTCACTACCTGATTCTGCTGGTAACACTCCCGAGTCCTACGGGCGGGCTGGTCAGGGTAATCCTGCAGGCCCCACACTTTGGGGGCCCGAGCCACACCCTGACTCAAAGCTGCAGCCGTTGGGAGGAAAAGGTGTTGGCATGGCCAAGTGGCCCTGACCGGACCTCACCGCTGTCACAGGAGCGGACAAAGGTGGGCTAGGACCTGTTGCCCAGCAACTGCCTTCCCCTTCTGCCTTTCATACTTACCCCTGCAGCTGCGTTCTGTCCTTTTTGTGATGTCGTTGTGGGGGCTGCTCAGGCGTCCTCGCCGAGAGAACTCAGGCTTGGGGTGAGGCGGGGAAGGACACGGATCCGGGACCCTTGCCTCAGGCCACCTGTCCGCCTTGCCTGTGGCTGGGTCCTGCCTCTCCTCTGGCTGCCAGCCTGTGGACTGGGAGGTCCCAGCCAGAGCGCAGGAAGCACCGGGCTGGAGCCGCACCTGGGTTGCTCTCTTCCTGCGGTGTTGGGGGCCTGGTGAATGGTTAACTAGCCCTGGCTGGCTGGCGCCTCCTTGAGCGAGTTTCTTTGTGGAGGTGTTTATCACCACTGAGGCCCCAGAGTCCTGCGGAGGCTACCTTCTCCCAGTGCCTTTGCTGGCCTCTCAGCTGCTTCACGTGGTCGGTTCATACCCACTGGTGTGATAGGGCAGCGAGGAAGCAGAAATGGAAACCTAGAGACCACCATTTATTCCTTACAAGTTAGGATTCAAGTGCCCAGTGTGGCCAGGAACCACACTAGGTACTTCATGTCCATTGTGAACCAAGGGAGGCAGGCCCTGCCCACCCGGAATTCCACTCTGTCGTGCTGGTCCTCAGCCCTGCTCATTAGAATCATCTGGGCCCTGCCTGGAATCACTTAGCTCAGTCCCTGAGCAGTCAGAGGAGCCTCGTGCTCTATAAAGCGGGCAGGGCAATGCTAACGTGCAGCCTGGGTTGGAGGAGGTGCATGATGAGCGAGTTCAGTGAAGTCCTTAACTGTCCTGGGCTCACCTGATGTTTCGAGTTTCCCTCCGTAAAACCTACTGACGCGTGCCCTTGGCTGCTGAATGCTCCCAGCCAGCAGGCTGGTCTCCAGCACAGTGGTCTCCTTCCTCCGTCGGTGGAGCTGGATACTTATCGGGGGTCAGCTGTTTGCTCCCAAACCTGTCTGTGGCACTTGTCCTTGTTATCGTAATGACATAATCGCACTTAATGTTACATAAAAGTGTGGAGCAACAGGAATCCCCGAAACCCCAGTTCTGCAGCTGGAGAGCAGGCACCCGAGTGAAGCCATCCGCTGAGAAGCAGCCTGGGGGCGTGTTTAAACCCAGCTGTGGGGTCGGCTGCAGGCTAAGCGCCGCTCTGTGCTGCCCCTCAAGGGGGTAGGGGCCGGGTGGGGGGAGTTGTTATAAGCACCTGTGACTACTTTGGAATGACTTTGGAATCACTCAGTATGTCTTTGAAAACAGATGTGGCAAGACAACTGGAAACATTTTGCAAAAATCCAGGATTTCACATGTTGATTTCTTTGTGGATGTCTTTAAGTTCTTGTTCTGCTTTATAGTTACCACAGTTAGCAAAGAGCCAATGTAGGAACTCTCTGGCCAGCAAACCCCACACTTGGAGGAAAGGCCTTGGCCCTACCGCAGAAAGACTGGCCAAGGAATTGTGCACGTGTGTGTTTCCATTTAAAATGAGATGTGGGGGGAGTCTTTTGGGTCGTGTACACAAAAGGGTCTTGAACCGACTTTTTAAATTAATTACTGACCCTGACCAGAAAATTCTACAGAAATGATTCTCATGAAGGGAACATGAAGGGAAGAGGTGGAGAATGCTGTTGGTGTGTGTGGTGTAGCCTGGCCTGGGGGCTGAGGGGATCCCCGGTAAGGCGTGAGGTTAGGTTGAGGCATGAAGACCACGGAAGGACTAGGGCACAGTGTTTCATGGCAGGCAGCCGGTCCTGAGGACAGTGAGGAAACTACTTTTGAGAACAAAATTATTTTGTTCTT